GTTTATAAAGATGTTAAATGAAGCATCAGCCATCTGTGTTTATTTTTCTGGCGCTGAATTAACACTGCAAAAACTCTGGATAACTCGGGACTGTGCAACTGTCATAAGTACATGCCAGTTGCCAAGTCTCCAAATCCTGTTTCTGTGACCACGGGGATGCTGCAGTGGTTGTAAGTCATTTTTTCCGGGGCTGTTGTGACCTCAGATGGTCAATAAGGAGAATGGGTGTAAGTCAAGCATTACCTCTATTTCTAAAACCAGATTGCAGCCTAGACTACAGGTAGTCCTTGACTAATGTCCGGTCACTTAGCAACGGTTCAAAGTTCTGACAGACTTAAATGCAAGCACCAAGGCAAAGTTAAGAAAGAATTAGTTGCTTTGAATCAAGGTATAGTAAATGGCAACATTTAAAAATTGCCATTTATGCAAGGGTGGGTTTCTAACAGTTCGCACCTATTCGCTAGAACTGGTTGTTAACATTCTAAGCAGTTCGGAGAACCGGCTGTTAGAAGAAATTACTGGCCTAATCCTGTAAGGAAGGCAGGAAGGAAACATTCTGGTGTTGCTTACAGAAACTGCCTCTCCGTAAACCCTTATTACATTCTTGGCAGGACTAGACTTCCTGTCTCAGGAACTTCTCTGGAGTTGTTTTTTTTTTTCCTCCTTTGCTGGTACTTTGCTTGTGTGGAGTCACCATTCAAAGTTACAATGGCACTGAAAAAAGTGACTTATGACCGTTTTTCACACTTACGACTGTTGCAGCATCCCCAGAGTCATGAAAGGCCAGGCCACGAGATGCTGCCTTGATGTACCACGCCCAGCCAATAACATGACCACCAAGCCACACCCACCAACTAAGCCACACCCACAGAACCGGTTGTTAAAAAATTTGAATCCCACCCCCGGCATTTATGTAGTTAAAAATATATCTTGATTTTATTTATTTTTTTAAAAAAAGAAACAATTCACGTTTTGTGGGTTCACTCAGGTGACCCCCGGAATCTGAACAAACCAAGCCCATTACTTTAAACTGGAGCCTCCTGCAGCTCTTAGCAGCTCTTGCGGCAGAGAAATAGGAAGAATAAGAGAGTAACAGAATTGATGTAACTATGGTCATGTTTGTATTGAAATTTAAAAACCTGGAATCACGCTGCTTGCCAGGAGATGTCCCCCCCAAAATATATATATGTATATAAAACAAAAGAAGAAATGGAATAATGAAATTATCTTGTCTGTTTAAATAATATTGTGATTGGCATTAGAAGAATGCATTGGACTACTGAATAATTAAACGATGAAGGATCATAATACGATATAAATATGTGTATTAACATTAGAATCATATAAGTTTGATAAATGTAACAGGTATGATGAATGCTGTTACTGTTTGTTGGCACCAAAATGTATGATGCTTAAGTGCAACACAATGTATTGATGTCTATAAGCAGAATAAATAAAAAACTTTGGGGGGGGGGAGAGAATAACAGAGTTGGAAGGGACCTTTGAGGTCTTCTAGTCCAACCCCCTTGCTCAAGCAGAAAACCCTTCAGACAAATCCAAGTCTCTTCTTTAAAAATCTCCAGTAATGGAGCACCCACAGCTTCTGGTGGCAAGCTGTTCCACCGGTTAATTGTTCTCAGAGTCAGGAAATTCCTCCTTAATTCGAGGTCGCTTCTCTCCTGGATGAGTTTCCATCCGCTATTTCTTGTCCTGACTTACTCTGAAGGCCCTTTTTAAAGTAGGGGTTCAGTTATCGTTTTGGGGTGTAGAAAGGAGGCAGGAGAGGGAACGCAGCTGGCCAAGGCTAAGCTGGACTTCAGTAATATTTAAAGAACTGCGGGGCCCTCACTTGTGTTCCAGGGTATTTCAAAATAATTCTTGGCACACGCTGTCTTTTTTCCTCCTGCTTTGTTTTCACATGCTTCACAAGAGCACGCAAGCAAGAAGAGCGCTTCACAGCAGTGACTGCATGAAAACATCTGAAGGAGACAGAGACATTACTTCCGCGTCCATATTTGGAACGGTCTTGTCTTCTATTTTCCTCTCCCCGTCTCGCTTTCAGTTTCGGGTCTGTTTTATTTTCAGTATCTCAGCTCCGACTCTTAATTCTGACGTTGGAATTTCCCAAAAAGGGGGGGAAAAAAAGGAAAAAAAGAAAAAGAATCCAGGGCTGATGCCCAGGAATTAAATGCTGCCAAGTACTTAACAAAGAACGCCTCGACTTGGCAGCATTCACAATTTATTTTAAACATCGAATAAAGGCAGAATAAAAGGAAGAGCGCTGGAAAGGAACCAAGGAATTCCGGTGTGAATAGCACAACGAGGTTAGAAGGGAACTTGGAGGTCTTCTAGTCCAACCCCCTTCTTGGGCAGGAAACCCTTTACTCATATCATATATGTGAATACTATGCGATGTGAGTTCTTGGAAGAGGCCAATGTTTACTGAAAGCAAATGATGGATCGACATACTGTAAAAGCGAGCTATAGATGCTGGAATTGGGCAGTTTTGCTCCTGGTTTGCCTCGGGGGCGGGAGAGTTATTTATGATTTGGACCTCTTTTAAAATAGCTTCTCGAAATATAAAATACAAATGAAAATAAAATAAAGGAAAACTAGAATTACTGAATGGGGAAACTAGCATTGGTTAATCTGAGGGAACATCTCTTGCCGGTCACATCTATCCGACCCATTAGAGCGAGGAGGCAGGAAATGCCACGGGTCCCATCCCTGGGGGAGATACACCTGGTAGGACCCAGAAGAAGGGCCTCCTCCGTGGTGGCTCCCTCTCTCTGGATCATCCCCCCCCCCCGAGATTAGAACGGCCCCGACTCTAACTCTCTTCCGGAAGGCTCTGAAGGAGGCCTGGTCCTGCCAGCGGGCCTGGGGAACCCGGAGCGGGATGGAGCCCATCCAATGGCTCGTGTGATCTGCTGTCGTTCGGGGTTGGGTGGGTGGGAGTCGGGGAGTGACTTTTTTATTTTTATTTTATTTTTTCCAGATGTTGTTCTATTGTACCTTAACTAATTTATTTGATTATTTTTGTTAGTTTTTATTGTTTTTTTATTTTTATCATTTTTTTGTTTTAAATATGGTTTTTACATTGTGTAAGCTGCCTCTAATCGCCATGGGCGAATAGGTGGCAATATTAAATAAATAAAATAAAATAAAATAAAATAATAAAATAAAATAAAATAATAATAAAATAATAAAATAAAATAAAATAAAATAAATAAAATAAAATATAAATAAAATAAAATAAAATAAAAAGATAGATA